TTGTGTGTCCCACTTTTGGCCGTACTGTTGACCTGATTACTATTACGCAAAATGTGGCGCTAGTTCTAACGCCGTTAATTCTTTTCCCTTTGATTAGGCCATTATGCTATTATGCTATTATTACTTTGATTATTAAAAAAATATAAATTATGTACTAGTTAATAAGGCCTTGTTTGGACTCCATTTTAGTGAAATTTTGGGGAAAAAATGTATTTTAGAATTGTAATTTTGTAGAAAATGTATGGTTAAACGGTAAGGAAATTTTTTGAATTTATATATAATANAGGAAATTTTTTGAATTTATATGTAATATTGAAAATGAAAAAAGAGAAAAATATATTAAATTAAAATGGAGCCCAGACATGGACTAAGAATTAAAAGATGTTGATATTTAATGTCGAGATTGTAAGGGAAAAAATTGAAATTGGAATAAAATTCGATTATATAATTATAATCAAGAACTAGGTTGCAAGTTGCAACCGCCGATGTTTGATATTAAAAATCAAAACCAGCTAAATTTTAATTTGAATAGTCTAATAGGCTAGTTTGATTTGAATCTTGTTCAATTCTAGATATAAATTCCCACCCAACATTTAACACGTTTGGAATAAGATAAGTGACAACACATATTAATTATATTAGGGCTAAACAATATTGGCCTACATATTATTGATTTATGGGAATTTTTTCATTGACTAATATGATTAATTAATTGAATTAATAAAGGAATTGAGTAGGTGTTTAATGAAGACGAACAAGTCTTTGTAAAAAAAAAGGTTGAACCCCTCCCCTCCCCTCCCCTCCCCTCCCCTAGAGCATTGTGGTCTGTGGAGGAGGTAAATCGTGAGATGTGTTTCACCAGATTAGGGTACAAGAGCTGTCATATTGGTACACACAAAGAGTCTAATTTCATACCTTATAAAAGCCAGAAATCGAACTCTCACACTATAGCGCCAGCTCAGCTAAAACTACCTTACTCATGTCCATTGCACCACTGAGCTATGTCTCGAGGGCACGAGTCTTTGTAGTTGATTTGACTATTATAAATTATGTAATGAGTAGGACTGGGCTTGGAACCCTCAACCTGGAAAATCAACAGGTTTCGGGTCGGTTTAGAGATATATACGGGTCGGGCAAAATAAATCTAAAATAATTGCGGGTCGGGTTCGACCCGACCCACTGAAACCTAAATATCCCCAATCATGCAGTGAAAGCAAGCTGGGTAGAAATAATAAGAGAAGAGGTTGAAACTAGTAGTTTTGCAACACCGTAGGCGGTGAGGTAGTCATCGAGCCCGATCAAAACTCTGATGGCTACTAAGGCGATAAATAAGCGAGGTTTCATTGAAAAGAACTGGGTTTTGGTGGTGGAGCCGCCAATTGTACGACAGTGGATGTATGCTATTGTGAAAACCAGATTCTTTTGCCTCCTCGGATGAAGTAGAGGCGCATGGTTAAAGGACCGCCACAATAGCCTATGGTTAGTATTATGTAGTTGAGGCACAAAAGGGCTTTCTTCATGGCGATGCTAGCTCGAGTTTCCATGTGTGTTGTATCCACGATGCTAGATAGGAGTCAGGAAAGAAAGAGGCATAGATGGAATATTTGGGAATATTTGAGAGAGGTTTTGTTCAACCAAACCCGACCCGTTTCGGGTTGGGCTGGTTTAGGATTGAAGTCGGGTCGGGTCGATTTGTAAAAGAGCCCAAAACTGGATATGTCGGGTCGGGTCGGGTCGGTTTTGAGCCAAATCTGACCCGACCCGACCTATCCCATTGCCCACCCCCTAATAACGAGCGTCTATTTGGCATGATTTCTATTTTTTATGTTGCTTATTGTACAAGATTTTTTCTTAAGAGGCTACATTAAGGGGGTGTTTGGTAGTAATTTGAGAATTGATTCTCAAATCAATTCTCATTTTCAACCACACATTTTTCAATAAAATAATATTTTCCATTACATCAATAATTTATTCTTGTTTTTCAACCACACATTTCTCATCATATTACTATTCAAAAATCAAAGTAAGGAAATTTTTTGAATTTATATATAATATTGAAAATGAAAAAAGAGAAAAATATATTAAATTAAAATGGATTTCAGATATGGACTAAGAATTAAAAGATGTTGATATTTAATATCGAGATTGTAAGGGAAAAAATTGGAATTGGAATAAAATTCGATTATATAATTATAATCAAGAACTAGGTTGCAAGTTGCAACCGCCGATGTTTGATATTAAAAATTCAAAAACAGCTAAATTTTAATTTGAATAATCTAATAGGCTAGTTTGATTTGAATCTTGTTCAATTCTAGATATAAATTCCCACCCAACATTTAACACGTTTAGAATAAGATAAGTGACAACACATATTAATTATATAGCTTAACAATATTGACCTACATATTATTGATTTATGGGATTAATCAACCATGAAATAAATTGGGTGGGTCGTATATATTATTCAATTAATTTGTTCATTGACTAATATGATTAATTAATTGAATTAATAAAGGAAATGAGTAGGTGTTTAATGAAGACGAACAAGTCTTTGTAAAAAAAAGGTTGAACCCCTTCCCTCCCCTAGAGCATTGTGGTCTGTGGAGGAGGTAAATCACCAGATATGCTTCACCAGGTTAGGGTGCAAGAGCTGTCATATTGATACACACAAAGAGTTTAATTCCATACCTTATAAGAGGCAGAAATCTCACTCTCACACTGTGGTGCCAGCTCAGCTAAAATTACCTTACTCCTGTCCTTTGCACCACTAAGCTATATCCTGAGGGCACAAGTCTTTGTAGTTATTAGTATGAGGTGATGATTTGACTATTATAAATTATATAATGAGTAGGGCTGGGCTTGGAACCCGAAAAATTGAATAAATCTAAAATAATTGTGGGTCGGGTCGGTTAACCGACCCAACCTACTGAAACCCAAATATCCCCAATCCTGCAGTGAAAGCAAGCTGGGTAGAAATAATAAGAGAAGAGGTAGAAACTGGTAGTTTTGAACACTGTAGGCGGTGAGGTAGTAACCGAGCCCGATCAAAACTCCAATGGCTGCTAAGGCGATAAATAAGCGAGGTTTCATTGAAAAGAACTGGGTTTTGGTGGTGGAGCCGCCGGTTGTACGGCGGTGGATGTATGCTATTGTGAGAGGGATGAAAATAATTGGCCAGCTTGAAAACCAGATTATTTTGCCTCCTCGAATGAAGTAGAGGTGTATGGTTAAAGGACCGCCACAATTGCCTATGGCTAGTATTATGCAATTGAGGCACAAAAGGGCTTTCTTCATGGCGATGCTAGCTCGAGTTTCCGTGTTTGCTATATCCACGATGCTAGATTGGAGTCAGAAAAGAAAGAGGCATAGATGGATTATTTGAGAATATTTGAGAGAGGTTTTATTCAACCCGACCCGATCTGTTTCGGGTTGGGCCGATTTGGGATTGAAGTCGGGTCGGGTATGTTTGTAAAAGAGCCCAAAACAGGATATGTCGGGTCGGGTCGGGTCGGGTCGATTTTGAGTCAAATCTGACCCGACCCATTGCCCACCCCTAATAACGAGCGTCTATTTGGCATGATTTCTATTTTTTATGTTGCTTATTGTACAAGATTTTTTCTTAAAAAGCTACCTTAAGTAAGTTTTAGTCAGACAAAATACTTTCGAAAAATTATTTAAATATTTTTAAAAGCAACTTACGAATCTCAAAAATAATTTTTGACTTTTAAAAGCCAAGCCAAACAGGCCTAATCATTTTTAGCTTTGACTTAGAAACATTGCAATTGGACTTCAAATAAATATATGGCAGAATTTTCAATCCCATTTTTATTATTTTTATGTGGAATTTGTTATGAGTTATGTCTGACCATTTCAAAAAGTGTACGCGTCTTGAAATGTTCACATGTTTTTTATGGTTTTGCTTTGTTACTTTGAAATTTCCTTTTAGCTTTTTACTTTTACTTTTCTATTTTACTTTTTATTTTGAATTTCTTAAAAGAAATATAATGGGATCTAAAAAGGACAAGGTGGTATATGAATATTTAACAGAATTTCGAACAAATTACGTAAAAAAAATGATTTATCTACACTTAAATCGAAAGTTCCAAAATTATAAAGAAGATTCGGGACTACATTTAAAGAACAATTACAAAATCTCCCTAAACAGTAAAAACAATGTAGAGAGGTTTTCTCTTATGATCTTGTTTTATGAGAAATATCATGCAACTCGATTTTTTATTTTTCCTTAAATTTAGATCTTAACCATACAAGCAGGCGCAAAGTCACGGAGGACAAAAAAAATATATATATATTTTATACTGAATCGATACATAAAAAAATTCCACTAAGAACGAAATTTTCTTTTAAAAAAATTGCTTCCCTTATGAAACTAAAGGACCAACCTTGGTGTATAGGAACCCCTACCGATCACACACAAGTGGGTCCTGCATGTGAGAGGCTCGGCTCTGTCAGACCTTTTACAGGCCTGGCAGAGCAGCATAATTCAAAACTAAATGGGTCTAGGAATAGGGCTACCTCCTCCCTCCGTAGTTCGTCCCTGTGTACAAGCACTATTATTACCTTGTTTGGTGTAATTAAAAATTATTGTTTTATAAAAATTGATGAATTGTATAATTAAAAAAATGATAAAAATCACGAATTTCATAAAATATATTATTAAAATTGATTATTGATTTTAAATTAAAATTTTATACGCTGGTAATAACGGGAAAGAAGTCGGCACGTCAAGGGGACAAACGGCGTAAATTTGCAGAGAAAACGAGGGCATCAACAAGAAAATACCAAAAACTATACGAAAATAAAGAACCAATAGGGCCCTCAAAATAGAGCCCCATATGTTCCTCGTGCTTTTTTTTTTCATCTTTAAATCCTTCATTTTCGGTTCATTTAAATTCTACTACTTGTTCACACATATGGAGTCCAACAACCATTGAATTTATTAATTATTTTCAAAGTGCAAGTTGCAGTCTTAATTTTTTCAGATGGGTTCATCGGAAATTATGGATTCCGGCAGGTTTTCCGGCCAGAGGTCCAATTTCTCACAGACCTGTAGTTTGTTGAGCCAATACTTGAAAGAGAAGGGTAGCTTTGGAGATATTACTCTAGGTCTTACTCAGAATTTTGAACCAAAAGGTGTGAATAAAGCTCGCGCAGATGGATGGATCTGTTTTTATTTCTTTCTTTTTCTGGGTTCTTTTATTGTTTATTGATTGAATGAATTTCCTAAAATTTCTTCTTCTTTTTTTTTTTTTTGATGAAAAAAGGAGCTCCAGCAGCAACTGAGACCATGAATTTTTTCCCACTAATGGAGAAATCTGAAGCTCCGACCCACGAAAAACTCAACATGCCCATTATCCCTCAGAAGAAAACTGATATCAGGTTTAATTTGTTGTCTATTATCAGCCTTGAATATATGGCTTGATTATGTTAAGCTTTTACCTTATTAACTTTTTGATTTGATTTTATGTGGCAGCGGGACAAAATTTGAGCCTGAAACTGCACAAATGACCATATTCTACGGCGGTCAAGTGATAGTTTTCGATGGTTTTCCGGCGGAAAAGGCAAACGAAATTATGATTTTGGCTAGCAAGTCAAGTTCACAAAACCACTCCACTGCCGCCGCCTTAGCTCCGCCAAGTATGGTCCAAAGTCCAGCTGAATCCGCCACAAACACCCCAGTTGCTGCACCTATTTCAAAGGCTGTTCCCACTTTGGTCCATAACCCTCCTCAGCCCTCCCTTGCCTCTGGTAATTAACTATAATTTCTCAATATTTTGTTGATTTTATGTTCTTGAATTCTTGTCTAAATTACATGTAATTTCTTTCTGTTGGCAGATTTACCAATTACAAGGAAACATTCGCTAACCCGGTTCCTTGAGAAGAGAAAAGATAGGTAAGTAATCGAAAATTCACTAAATTTATTATTAAAAAAAAAAAAGATTTAATTTATCATTTTGGTGGCTTAAGATATATTCTGATGTTTCAGGATCACATCAAAAGCAGCACCATACGAAGCAATGGCACCTCCAAAGCCAATTAAAACTGAAGAATGGCTGGGATTGGCTCCTCGATATCCAACTTCAAATTGAGCTTTAATTAATCTAATATTTGTTTACTTGTATTGATTTAAATCCAGCTTGGCTTCGTCATTAGTAAAGTTTCTAACTAATTAATCTGTGTAATTAAGATTAGAGAGAATATTTCCCTTTTCCTTTCATATAGTTTTTTGAATAAATTCTTTTAATCTCTATATATTGTATTCTCTTTGAATGGATGTTTGCTGTGTCTATTGTATTCCTTTTTATCACATAATACTATATTATTGTCGATTTTCATGGATTGATTTTGTTATTTGATTGATATTGGTTGCATGTTCGTGACATTTTGGAATAATGATTTGATGAAAAATGCGTGGTAAGAAAAATTTTTAGATTTACGTACAATATTATTTTATTTAAGAACGTGCAGTTGAAAATAAGAAAGAAAAATTTATTTTCAAAATAATAGAACAAATCAAAGGCTAAAATTCAATATGGAAATCAAAGTTTAAATAATTAATTCAATCAAACTAAGGACTTGTTTGATAACGTTTTTGAAAATTCAAAATGTATTTTTGGAAATTCAAATGTTCGAATAATTTTTTGGAAACGTTTTGAAAGTTGACCAAGGGTGTCAAATGAGTCCTTAAGTTCAAATTTTAAATTGGTGTTTTCAGATAAATCAATATATTTTGTGGCACGGGTTAATCACTCAACAATGAAAAGGGAAAAAGAGGGAAGGAAAAGGCAAAAGCATTTTTGGTACTCAAGAAACAACGAAATTGTTCATCTGCCTATAGTGGATAGAATAAGACTGTTCACTTGTTGATATGACAAGATAACGTTATTTACAATTCTCGCCAAATGTGAGAACCGTAAGTAAGATTTTCTCCAAGTAAACAAGATAAAGACTTTCCACTTTAAGTAGAAGAACAATTCTACCTTTAATAAATAGTTAAATAATTTAACTTTTTTCTTGTTTCTTTGACACTTTTCCCTTATCTTAAAATTATACTTTCATTTTATTTTATTTAAAAGTTTAAATAATTAAAAAGATGATGAAATTAGAGTTAACATGGGGGTTCATCTCTTTTTGATTTTTTTTTGCATTCACTGTTCAAGAATTTTTTATAATTAAGTAATAATGTGACATTGATTCATATGTTCAAAGAATAAAAGAGGCAATCGGATTTTTCTTTGTATTATAATAAATCAACTCTTATAAGAGTTTAAGAAGCTTTTTTATTCATAATATTATATGTTTGTGTCTCATTTTTTTTCAAAATTATTTTTTCTGCAAACTCATTTTCAATCACATATTTACACAATAAATATTTTACACGTAAATCCAAAAATCTGTCTACTTTTTAACCTCACATTCTCCAAAAAATCATTATTTAAATTTTAAAACAATGTTTTCCCCCAAAAAAAAAAAAAAAAATAGCCACCGAACAGGGGCATAATATATCTACCTATAACATTTGACTATTTATTTTAAACGGATCCAACATCTCTTTTTAGCACGACTCAAGTTAAACCTAAACCCTAAATTCTATTGACATAAAAATGGATAATATTTTTTAAAGCTAAAGGAGTAGAATTTCCCTCCAAATTTCGGTAGGGTTTTACTCTTTTTGTGTGATTTTTGTATGTTTTGAAACCAATTTTCGTTCAAGTGTTAAAAGTTTGACATATATCTTTTCTAAATGGAGTCTCGATAGTCGAGGGCATTTCTTTGGTCAGCATAGAATGTAGAAGATATCGAGATTTATTTATCCCATTGTTTGCTTGTCAGGCTAGATTTCATCTGATCTTCTTTGACTACTTATATACATAATTAGTAGAACTCTAACCTCGGTGATCGATGCATAAATTTTCATCCCATGACTCGTGACTACATGATGGGGTCCTTGTCCATGATAATGTGATAGTCGATGCACCGTAACTATTTCATTACATAGCAAGTCATTAAATATGAGGGAATATTCGTCATTTCACAGCTTTTGTTGAGAGATTGGATGAAAATATATAGAAATGATGGTTGGCGCAATTAAATATGTAATTAAGTAAGTGTGAAAATGTCAAAAAAAAAAATGTATGGACTTTTTTGCAATAATAGTGAAAGGTAAAGACATTATGTGCTAATTACCCCTTTAATAATTTATTTCTGAATTGTTTGCGCTTTTTCTAAAAAAAATAATTGGGACTGTAATTGCAATTAGTTTTTTTCTCTCTCTTTTTTTTTTGTTTTATTTAAAGATAAGGGTATATTCGTCATTTTATATTTTTTTTAATTGAGAAAATAAGTGAAATAGACCTTTTGCGTAATGAAATGTGAAAATAAGGGTAAATGTTAAAAAATGAAAGGTATGGACGTTTTCCACAATAACAATGAAATGTGGGGACATTATGTGCTAATTACATTTTTTTTTTTTTATCTTTCTTTTTCTCAAAAATATATACTTTTGACCAGTTAACGTCTTTTGTATTTTTCTCATCAATTGCGGATGTGAAACCCATAATTTCTTTTTACCTTTTAATTACATATTCTTTAAAAAAATTATTCTCCACTTCAAATAATGTGTCCCAAACAAACACAAAATCGCACCTTGGCATTTATAAAAGTTGTACACGTGTTTGATCAATTATTATAAAATGAACTAAGTCTACACCTCAAGGAGTGTATTGAAGGCAAAACTTAAATGAATATGTACAATCTCTCTTTAATAACTTCACATTTAAATGAAATAATTCAACATAATATCACATTTGACTAAGTTATAAACACCTTATAAGCTTAGCCAAGCATGATATTATATTCGTATTATTAAATTTGAGGGTTGGGAAGGATTTATAAAAATACGTTGTTGAAAGTGAATATTAACCATATTTATAAAATTTGCCAATCGGAGGCTTAAAATTTAGCTACTAAAGATGAGCTTCGTATATCCATTTAAGCGTAGTTTTCAATTTAACACATTGAACTTTTATAGAAGACAACATGTTTTCTAGTTTTTGAGTATTTTAAATAATGTATACATTTTAATATTTTACGACTATAAAAGGTTATACTACAAAATCATTATTTCAAAATTCTTTAATTCTCATATTTACTTTTAACCACACATTTATACAATCGTGTAAATCCAAAAATAAAATAAAATTTAATCACACATTATCCAAAAAATCATTTTTCAAAGAGAAATGTTATTCATCCCCACTGAGGATACATCCCCAGTTTATGTGGCGTTAATGTGGCATTAAATGATAGGTGAAATTAAATAAATCATTTAATTTCACCTACCATTTAACCAATCATTTACATCCACATAGATTGAAGATGCATCCACCGATGATGAATAATATTTTTCTTTTTCAAAACTTCATCCTCTTGAAACAATGGTCATAAAACGTGGGCTAAATAATAATCATTAATCATGGATCGTGGCGTGGCAAGTGGGTAGGGAAATGTTTGGTGGCGACTCACATCTTCACCCTTGTTGATATTATATTAAAAGAAGATTTTGCCCTTGTTTGGTATCTATTATTTATAAAATGCATTTTTCTCTTTTTTATTTTCAGCCTTTGTTTGGGCCCCATTTTTGGGCAAAAAATACATTTTTAATAGTGTTTTGTTGGAGATTGTGTACTTAAAAAGTAAATAAAATTTTGATTTACGTGTAATATTATTTTATAAAAGAATGTGTGGTTAAAAATGAGTTTCGAAAAAATAAATTTTTGAAAAAATGAGGGTCAAACAAAATTACACATTGTTCAATAAAATAATATTACACGTAAACTCCAATTTTTTCTTTATCTTTTAACTACAAATTGTCTATCAAATCACTGTTTTAAAATGCATTTTTTTTAAAACATGGGGCTCAAGCATGTTCTTAATATTGTCACGTTGTTCACGTCTTGTCTTATGGCCATTAACAATTGATGGATTGGGGTGGGTAAAGTAAGGTATGGGGGAGAATATATTTATTTTAGGGATAATTGTAGCAGCAGTTCCAAACCTTTCAGTTTTTTGCAAACTTTACTTTAACTTTCACTTTGCACCCTCCTCAGTCCCAAACGGCCAAACCTTTTATAAATTCGCACCTAAGGTCCAACCATTTGACAGTTAGTTGACCAAGAAATTTGACTTTGACCCAATTAAAACCATAAAATCACACCACCACCACAACTCCCCTCAGCCACCATCGGCTCACACCATCAACACAACTCCCCCCTACCCAAACCAAACACCCACCATAACTTATTATAATTTTTTTCATTTTGATTTTTTAACTTATTTTATGTATAAAATGCAAAATTACTATTTTACCCTTTAAATGGTCTAAATTTGGTCGAAGTCAAATTTCTTGGTAGACATTTGGACCTCGGGTGCAAATTTATGAAAGGTTTGGAACAATGGATGACACAAAGTGAAGGTTATGACAAAGTCTACAAAAAACTCAAAGGTTTGAGATCGATGTTGCAATTATCCCTTTATTTTATTAGCAATCACATGGTGAGTTTGAATTTTGGGGTGGATAGTTTCAAAAATACTTTCTACTAGATAAGGGTCACCTTCACTGACCCATTCTCCTTGTGAAATGTACACATGCAACCTCTCTCTTGCTCTACACGCAATTCTAAATCTATAGTTGGTCATCAAATTTTAAAAGTGCGCAAGTTGATCCTCCAATTTCATTTAGAGGCTTGAGTGGGGCTTTAATTCCCATCGAAAATGAGCTCTCCTATTTAATGAAGTGAACTAATGGAGCAAATTTCCGCCTTGTGTTGAGGTAGAGTAGAAAGAGTGAAGCACGATTATGCATCATCTAGTTGTACAATTAGTTCTCATTGACGAGAACTGTTCAAATTTCTATACATATTTGAATAACTTCTTATTCACTATAAATATGCAACAAAATAATATCTAATATCTAGTATAGTAACATTTAGTTCCATCTATTGCCATCCATGTGACATCAAAGATGGGTTTGTGAGCGAAGTGCATGAAGTGAGATCAAAAGTGGCTACAAACGAAAATACTTACTACT